ACGAAAGGAAAGATACTATAATAGTCAGTATTATCACAGAATCTTTAATTGATTAATTAAAAAGTATATTTTCTTATATATTTTTAAGTTCTCATTTTATCAGCAAGAAAAATCTGATGTACTCTGAACCGGTAGATTCGCATCTTTGCGTACAAACCGCAATAAGGTATCGGTCTGAGAGAAGTGGCAAGAAAAACTTTCACGGGTCTTGGTACCGGCTCCAAAGTAGGTGGAACGGGATGACTTCAGGTTATCGGTATAAGAGACGGGGAGTGGTGGTTGAAGCACCAAGAAGCAGATCGGGATGAAAAAGAAGCAAAAAAGGAAAAGAAAAAAGAAAGAAGAAAAGAGATGCTGGAAAATGCAGCAGTACAACTCAAATGGGGTCTGCAGTAAAAATAACGTGAAAAGTAAATTTCACTGCTCGCGGTCAACTCTAACGGACTTACAGGTTTACTGACAAGGAAAATCTTTCTATTAACTCTTTAAAATAGTCTAACTTCAAATCAACTCAAAAATCAATTCAATCTTTAAATCTTTCAGTAATTATTTATATGAAATTAAATTCAACTAATCGGAAAAATTTACTTTTGATTATATTCTCTCGATTAATTGTGATTATTAAAGTATAATTTGCACTTTTATACCTAAATTATAGGTTATAAGTTTGAGATACTCTTTTCCAGTGAAGAAATTACATACATTGCATTCATCTAATTATAACAAGATTCTCCTATTATATGCATCTTTGTAAATGCAAAAGGACACGGAGAAAAGGACTCTATACATGAGATCACATTGTCAGTAATCTTCGTCATGCAAAGTGGATATTAATATTCAACTGGTAGCATCTTTTGAAACTGGTGATTAAGATAAGGTTTAAAAAGCTTTGATGGCTTCGTGTCGTCTTTTACACTTTGTGAATAAATAAATAAGATTTGTAAAATTACAAAATCAAATGCAATCGGAAATAGTATTTCAAAAAAAGAATGAACAGAGATTTTAGCATTAACAGAGAACTTGTCTTTCAGTTGAAGAAAAGCAAGGGCAAGTAGAGGTACATACATCGGATCGAACCAAACTGAACTGACAACTTTAGCCAAGACGCGAACAGTCACGACTGCCGACAGATGCAGAAACCAGTGATGAAGGCAATTTTGTAAATACTTGAAAAATTAAGCAGTCTCAAGTAGACATTCTCTAAGTACATACCTTCTGGATTTCACTTTATATTTTAGTCCATTTTTGTTTAACTAATGTGTACTTTTTTATACTTTACAGACAGTCTGTACACTATTGACACTATTTAAGTGAAATTTAATTTAAAAAGAACAACGATACTCTAACAACGCATTGCAATGTGTAAAGTTTTTATTACTTTATTAACACTTTAAGTTCTGATAGGCTCATTATACCTACTATACATAAAGTTTTAATAGCAACTGACAAGAGTATTACGAAAATTAGGTTCAATGGTAAGATAAAGCATGACTTAATAATCGTCACTGACAAAACGAAACATATTTACAGTAAAATCGTAAAAAGAATAAAAATCCCAATACATACACTGTAAAACAGTCTTAAAACAACAGCAAACATGTTCTCAGAAATTCAACTTTTTTTGGGCTTAAAATAAAAGCAGAACAATTTAAGGTTTTACGATTAATTTCCTAATATGAACCTCAATCAATACTGAATAAAATTGACTAAAATAAATTGTTTCAGTCGAAATCAGGCTTAAAACAAAACAAGGCAAATGAGAAAATGGATAAATTTCAAAAGAAATAAATGAAAAAACTTGTGATTTTTTGGAATGCAGACAACAACTCAAGACAGATTGATCAAAGTTCAAACAGTATGACACTTTCTATTGCTGTACACCCAGAGAAAAAAGTTATTTATTTTAACTAAAAGTGTATATTTAAGAAAAATTTATTTGTTGCAAATAAATATTTTATTTAAAATAAATAAACTAATATTTATTTCAAATAAATGCACTAATTAATCTAAAATAAAGAAATATATTTGCAATTTATGAAATAGTATATTTGTAGCAAATAAAAAATATATTTGATTCAAATAAATGTTTGTTTGACTTATAAGTAGACGCCTGCGCATATTGCATTGCTATAGTAAAACAATAAGATGTTTTGCTTTTAACAGTTTAACGCGTACAATTATAAGAGGTTTATTCATCATGAATAGTTAACAAATTTAATTGATTTAAGTACAGAATTTTTCTTTTTAAGTGAAAATTTTAATTAGTACAAAGTAACAGATTTGTATGTGATTTCATTTACATTTTAGTGTCTTATTTGAGATTTTGTGAGAAAAATGTGACAGTGGACTTTTACATATGAAGTGAAAAAGTAAAGTAAAATGACTAACAATAAAAAAACCTGACTTTATTTAACAAATATTCTTATAAAAATAAACATTTATTTTAATGAATATTAAAAGTTCCATTAGTGATTGTGATTGTTAAATTTATTTGAAGGTTATAAGTGAATTTTAATATTTTAGAATGCTTACAGGATTTATTAAAATGAAAAGTGTTTTTTATTTGTTCTAAATATAAAATATATTTAAAGAAAATATAAAATTTTTTTCATTTAAATAAAAATGGATATTTAAACGAAATATATTAATTCAAATAAAAAATATTATTTGAGCTAAATAAAAGTTTAGTTGGTTCTGTGACAAATATCCTTTTTTATTTGTTTGAAATAAATTTTATTTAATTCAAATAAATCATTTCTCTAGGTGTAACATGTATTATCATATTATAGTATACTGCATTCCAATATTTTTGGATTTGTTTTACGATTATTTTTTCTACGAGAAATCATAATAGATGTTGATTTGAAAATAATTTAACAAATCCGACCCTGAATTCTACTGTTACAGTGGAAATATATATGTTCTCACTGCTTTTCTGATGGCCCGAATTATGACCCACGACGCAGTATGTAAAAATAGTGGCAAGCGTTGCGCCACATTGTATGCGGATACCAGCATTGACACTTGACTGGTCGAATCATTAACGCTTCACCAACAATGTTGCTGTTATTTAGTTTTAAATTTCATACAATTTTCTGATGACATAATGACCACACACGAATACTATAGGCTATTATTGCAGGAGAAATGTTATTTTCTCTGAAAAATAATAATACAGTGAGTGACATCTTAACATCCTTACTCTGTGAGTTAATGAAATTTCACTAAATCTAACTAAAAATCATCAGTGAAAACTAATTAATTAGCGATTATTAGCGATTAACCAAAAAGCATATGCTATTTGAAATTACTAGCATACTTATCGCTGAAAATCAGTAAAATTCCGTCAATTCAGACTTAGAGAGCGCAATAACTATTAAGGAAAAAGCATAATGAAACCTACGCCGAAAAAATTAATATCCATTATCACTATTTATGATAAACAAAAATATTTACTGTTTTACATCCACGCGTTCGTATTTATTTTTTTTTGTTTTATAAATTCATGTGAATATAATAAATTATATGTAAAAAAAAATAAGTTAATTTGCGCAATTAATATTTGATAAAAGAAAATTTAATTGCATTTATAAATTGAAGGCGCATTACTTTTGAAAATATACACATTAGGAAAAAAGTTTTGAAACAAAAATAAAGTCAATGACATCGAAACCGGATTTTACTACGCTGAAAATGAGCCTGGAAGATACTTTTCTTCATGTTTATTATGACCTTAATAATTATTTATCCGGAGATATTAATCTTTAATATATATTATACGGACATATTGGAGTAGATCAAAATTTTTCTTTATCAATTCTGAATTAATAAGAAAACAGTTGAAATTTGAAATGTTTAGTGAAAGTTTGTTTAGCTATACAAAAACCTGATTATTATACGACTATTATATATATATGCCTTAGCAATGTGTCTAAATAATAATAATAATAATAATAATAATAATGTTAATTTGTATAAACGTTTTGAGAATTATTCTTTTTGTTTGAATTATATCAATTGTTATGGTCGTCGAAACATGTTCCATCACAAAAAACCGAAAAGGATTTCTTCGTTTCTAATTTTCATCTATATACGTAAATTTTTTTCAGAAATTTTACACAGTTTATCTAAGGATATCAAAATTTGATTCGTTTTTTGTCTCAATTTTGATATCCTTAGAGAATCACTGCAAAAAGAAGTATCTTAAAAGTGACTACAAGGTTACTTACAACATCTTATTTTAAGATGTTTCTGGCCTAAACATCTTAAAGATATTTTATTAAGTAACTTTGTAGTCACTTTTAAGATACTTAATTTTTACAGTGAAATTGCGTATTAAGGGCATTTTTAATCAGTATGACGTTACAGATTGTGCAAAGAATGTCTGCTAAAACTGACCTCATAATGGTTCAAATGTCCTTAAAAGATAGTTGCTCAAAAATAATACGAACACTGCACGGAGAGAAAAATCTAGCTTTAATAGTATGACACTACCTATACTAATTTCGCATGACTATAGTCACGCTTCAAACGCATGAATTCATACCCAAAAACCATGGGTCCACGCTTCACCATGGTTTCTCGGTATGTTTTCATGCGTTTGAAGCGTGACTATAGTCCATGCGAAATTAGTATAGGTATAGTGTCATACTATTAAAGCTAGATTTTTCTCTCCGTGTAGAAGGCAACTTTAAGAAAGGTAATTTTAAGATGGTAGTCTCTATGGTAGTCACTTCTATAAGTTATTGTTTCAAAAAAAGTTATCAAAAGCATCTTAAGATGCATTGACCTTTAAGATGGAAGATCGAATAATGAGATCTTTTAAATATCTTGAAAGCTTAAGGGCCAGTTTCACCAACTTAATAAAAACGATTAAAGTCATTTTAATCGCCCATGATTGGTCGGTTAAGGATTTAATCATTGATTATATCTTTTAATTGGAGTTGGTGTATTTGAAGGCAAAATAAACCGTCTATTATAGGTACGATATGAAATCTTACCTTCCATCCGGCGCTGCTGTTACTGTCCCCCTTGTCCTTGAAATAAGCGACATTCTGGACCATCCACTCGTAAATTTGCGAAAGGGTGAGTCTTTTTTCCGGAGCACTGGTGATTGCCTGAGTGATGAGATCAGCATAACTCAAATTTCCCCACGCATTCCTCCTTGAGGAATTCTTTTTCACCGGAAGGAGTCCACCTCCCTGAGCGAGTGGCCCCTGTTGAGGTGGGGTCCCACCTTCGACACCTTCCTTGCCCCCCGAGCCACCAGGGACATTTCCTTCAACATAACCCTCTGGTCTTGGCAACGGCCACGTGTTTGATCTTGCTCTTGTTTGCGGTTCGAACCCACTCTCAAGGTCAAAGGGCACACCTTGCTGGCCCGCGACTGATGCTGATCCCGTGACTGGTACCGGCATCGAGTCCATCATCTGTCCGCTCTCGATGTACTCCACTTTAGCCCTTTGTCAGCAATTCCGACCACGGGGTCGGAATATCAGCAACGAGAACACTTGAACCGAACCAACTATTCAACTTTTCAAATAAACTCGAGTCACTTTTAAAATTGGAAAAGTCTACTAATCGCACTTGTTGTTGATAAATGATCTCGAGTAAAAACACAGTTCTGTGCACTACTAGATCGCAAGGAGACGACCGGGGGAAACCACGTGGTCCAACTGTTTACAAACTACTCGACGGTCACGTGGTCATGTTTCGATATCACAACCTTCTCGGTGAATTTTCAACTCTGCCCGTCTCGAACACTCGCCTGCCTTCTCACAAGACGCTCTCTGGAGAATGTTGTGTGTCTGTGTGAGTGTAATCTGTCTGCGTACGCGTGTACGTGAGTAGAGAACCTCACGAGATATCTCGTCAATTCGTGATACGTGTGCACTCCCTCTCCGCGTTTCGCCAACCCAAGAGCGACGTAGTTTCTATACGCGTGATATCGGCGATGGGTCGTCGCTCGAATTTCCCAAAGAATCTCAAGGACGTCCTCTGGCTGGTCTCGAAATTGACTGGCGCGTTCCAAGCAACCTCGTTTTATTCGCTCTTTGGTGGCACTCGATCCCACTGCTTCTCATCGACACCAGAAACCTGAAAGATTCCACCAAAAAGACATTCAAGGCCTTGATCAAAAAAACAGGATTATGTAACGGGTTCCTCTTATCGACTTGTGTGTGACTCGACAATCACCATTTAATGTCAATGAGATAATAAAAGTTCCTCAAAAGAAGTTGAGACACTTCTTGTTAACACTGAATGGCATAGATCCCAAAGTCGTCCAGGAATATCGTTGTGATGACCCTGGCACTTCTGACATCTTATTACTCACTTTTCAAGTTTTTTTCATATACACTCACTTTTGCATCAGTTAAAACTTCAAGTTCTTGAAAACTTATTCAATTATTCCAATTGAATTCACACTTAATTTCAAACACGATCAAGTACTTTTATACGCGAAAACTAATTTTTGTTTTTCTCTTCAAAAAACCGCGGAAAGATCCAATCACGTGGCTACTAGACACAGAAAGTGAATCAACATAATACGAATAATTCCCTTTTTTACAATAAACAAAATTTGGGATTAATTTCCCGCCAAATTTCAAAGATGAAGCTTGTCTAACACTGAGGAAGAAGAAATCGTATGTGGTTTTTTTTTATTTTAGTCACTCGTGCAATTTAATAGAGAAGGAAAGTATATAACAACCAACAGAAATGAAATTGCCGGCGACGTAGCACGGCACATACTGTTGAAACTTTCGTGGACTCTCGACAGAACGAAGAATCCGAACCAAGTCGGAATAACCCGAAGCGCAGCGAGGAAGCGAACTTGTGGCGCCTGCTTCTTGAATAGAAGTTAGTGCAGCAGTGTTGCCAATAGAGAAATTATTTAACTCCTCCTCGTTGGCAAATTTTATTTTGTTATCTAATTATTTTTTCTTTCGACAAGCTACTGATATCTTATATCACTTGTTTTACGGATTAATTGACAATTTTAATAAACTTCACTTTTGACAACTCAACAAATAATCATTTAAAGTTTTACTATGTCAGGCAAATTTAAATGTTTAATCCTCGAGCCTTTTATTCAATATCTTACCTTATTAATCTTATTGATCTCATGTTTCTTAAATATTCAAATTATTATTATTAGTACTGTGATACACTAAACATTCGTTTTTTAGTGATTGCAAATTTTGTCAAGTATCAATTTATTAGAGGTCCTGGGGTTATCAGGGTATTCGCGTTTTTATAATTATATATACACAAGGATAGTCGAATTCTGTTGAGGCAGAAAAACCTCGATAATCATACAAAATGGATGACAAAAGTTTATAAACTTTATCGCGATGAGCCATACACTCTCGTGCTCGACTACCGGATCTCACGTTGTGCACGATTCTCCGTTTAATACACTCTGTGAAATTTCAAAGAATGTCCTCTTAGAGGCTACTGCGGACAAGTTTTGCTTTACTCCAGATATACTATTTCACTTTGTGTGTGGTTGGTTTCAAGATTAACGTCAAATGAAGTATTAAAAAACTAAAAAAAAGTTTGGTACTGTCAATCGAATAAAAAGAAATATGATGAAAAAAAGATTGAAAACAAACGCTTTCATCTCTTTTCTTTTATGATGAAGAAGAGATTCTCGAAATGCAACACTAAGTATATGCTTACATCTTAAAAAAAGATTGAAATCATTTAACTATGGTGTAATAATGTTATAAGAGCAACAATCCAATTAGTGAATTTCTTTGAGAAAATGTGCAAAGTGAAAAATCTGTTTGCAGTTTAATGGTAAGTTTTCTCAGATAATGTAATATGAATCGTACTGGTGTAATTTTACGATAGAGACTTTATCGTGTGAATTTGCAGTTGCTGTGCGAATTAGAACGTGAAAAAGAAGCTTGCCTGAGGCAGTTTGAGTGGTGGTACCCAGAGATCTTTTAGGTGCAAGCCAGGTTAAGGATAGAGTATTTATTACATCCCCTAATTCTACTAAACACCTACACAAGCGAGGTGAGCTATTAGCGGCACGACTATATGATAAGATGGTTGCAACTCTCAAAGAAACTTTTGTTTTAAGGCCCAATTACAATTTTCTGCTTTTTAGTTTAGAGAAAAATATTTTAAGTAAATAATTTTCCAAATCAAACCAAATTTTTACTATACACGGAGAGACCGAGATTATTAATTTTTGTATAAAATCACACTAGAATTTACTATTTTCACATTGCAACCACCGGAAATAAGGGGACTTTTTGTATTTTTTACTATTTTCTACACTAAGTCACTAATCCGAAAAATGTTCACCAAATTAGCAAAGTTTCTTACTATTTCGTCCAATAGTTCCAAACAACTGTAGTAAAATAAAACTCAGAAACATTGTGTACGTAAAATTACTATAGTCGTTTGTAAATGCAGAAAGAAAGAGTGAAAGAAAAAATACGGATTTTTATCGCCGGTTTCCCGTCAATTCTTGACTAATGGGGATAAACTGGAAGGATTTTTACATACACAGACACACACATACTTATATATTTGTTGGATAAATATTTGAAGACACACACGTGTTTATTTCACTTATATGTATAGACGCGGTTAATTAAAACACTAATACACAACTGCACGCACGACAACGAATTTCACTGAAAGTATACATCTTTGTTTCCTTATATATTGAATGATGAAAATTTACAGCACTTACGAGAAAGCAATTTACTTTTAACAACTTATTATAAGACATAGTTCTTGGGACAGGAATAAATGCAAAATTTATTAATTTATAATGGTCAATTTCTGAGATAACGAACGATCTACGTTTTGTAGATAATCTCCTTCTTCTTCTTCTTCTTCTTAATTGGTCTGTTGATAAATCAAATGGCCATAGATTAAACACATAAAATTTCACTGTAGAAAATTGCAAACAAAATCAAGATGCAAAGATGAGCTGGTTCATATAGGCATAGAACAAGCAGTAAAGCAAAGTTAGCAACCAATAGAAATGCAGGCGCCATATGACTGCACTCGCTAGCCACACTTGCTCACCAAAAATTACTACAGTGGATAGTAGGTTTTAGTAGAAAATTTTTTCAGTTGTCAGATTTTGTCTAATGAAATTAGAGAAAACTATAATCAATTTTCGCTACATTTACAACTCTTACACAAAATATTAAAACTTGCTATTTCAATGTAGCAAATTTATCTATTTCTTTTGTAAATTTATCTAATTCTGTAGTACATTATGCTAAAAGTCCCCTTATTTGCGGTCATTGCAACCATTTTTTAGTAATTTTTACAAATGTGGGTCTCTCCGTGTACCCTACACAAGAAATTAACTGAATTGGCTGCATATAATTATTGTAAAGATTTGATCAATAAAAATTTATTTTGACAACGTACAAACACTTTATGAACATAAAATTAATTTTACAATTTAGAATCCTCAAATTTTGAATTCTCCTTTAGACTATTATACGATTTATCATTTACTAATAATTGAAAGTAAATTCTCTTACAAAATACAGAAAAAATGTACTATTTTAAGGCATTAAATATAAGAGCAAAGTGTAAGGTTCAGTATGCAATTTTCATGATTTACATGTAATATTAACATTCTTCAAATAAAGCGGAAATGCCGCATTACATTCGAAGGTTCATTAGGAACTTTACCTAATGAGGAAAATACATAAAACACGCATATGACCTTGTATAAATATAAATTTTGCAAATACATTCTGTTAATAAATGTTTAGATTTTTTAAATTACTGGAAATCTTACAAGCTATACAGGAAAACTTTGGTAAATTACTTTAGGTTCGCTTCAAATACAAATTTGTATGTTTAGAAATTGCGACCTAAACAACAATGTCACTTACCGCAGTTTTTCTGTTATATATAAATAAATTAAAAATATACAGTGGGACCTCTGCTATCCGAACTGTAAATAGTTTTATCCGCACTTCCATTATCTGAATTTTTTCGTTGTCTTAAATCCAAACTTTCAATTTTTACATCCATATCTCGGTACAAAAATCTCAAAAAAATAAAGAAATTTTACGAACTATCCACTGATTTTTAATGTAAATTATCTAAAAGAAGATATAAATGCCATTTACTAGTTAATAAAATCATTTCAAAAGAATTATTTCTCCATAAATATAAACGAAAATAATAATTGCAATGTCTATATTATCCGAACCAAGTCCTGTATGAATTAGTTGGAATATTCGAGGTTCCAATTTAATTAACTTACAATTTATTAGTTTATAGACTTAAACACAAATCCTAAACATTCCTATATCTATAAAGTCAAACTTTGTGAGAACATTTAATTGAAACACTTTGGCATTTGGTTAATTTAACCATCGATTTGCAGTTCTTTTAAATATTTGTTTATTTTTCAAAGTTATTAATCATTAAAATCAAAGTTTATTTAAACTCTTAAAGTATATCATCAAGCGGGGAAATTATGGAATAAAAATTGCATTTTTTTTAGTTTATCTGCACCAAAAATATAAATTTTATAAAAAGAATTTCTTAACTATTCAAATATATTGTGAACATCTTTCTGAAGATTTCCTCCAAATTTCATTAACAAAATAATTTTTTGAAGGAGCTATTTAAACCGAAATATTGTTCCATAATTGCCTCGCATTTGGGGCAACTGTAGATAACAAATTATTGTTAGTAAATATAGAATAAAAGCTAATTTCGAAAATTTATACACATGTTAAATAACTTAAAAATATTAATAATTGGCTCTTCAATTAATCCAAGAAGAAAGATTTTAAATTAACATTTGTGTATAAATATTAATAATTGTAATTTTTTAGACTAAGTTTTACCTTCATAAAATTCAAATATTATTTTTTAACTAAATAAACTACATAAAAATACAAATCATTGAAATATTCTTTACTTGTTACAAAGTAAATTTCTGCGGTTAATAAGAAATTTTTTATTTTGTTTCATAACTACCCAGCAGAAGTTAAAGAAATTCTGCCCTTTTTACTTTTTAGAAATAACCTTTTCACCTTTTTGACGTTTGACAATTATATTTTATTCTCGTTTTCAGTGTCAATAAAAATAAAAGCACTTGTGTTACTTTGTAGGCAAAATATTAAACAATTATTTAAAACAAGAACCAAATTAAAACAATTTACTACAAAGTTTAAAAAAGATGTTCCGTAATTACCTCTGTCGACGCGGGGTCGACAGTAAACTAAAATATAATGCAACAAAATTTCTGCAATTTGTATGTGATATTATGAAGATTTCATATTTCTTATCACATGCAGCATATGATTTATAAAAAAAAGAAATTTTACCATTTTGCACCTAAAATTACCTTCTTATATCCAGTAAATTATAATTAATACCAATATTTTTGTTTGTAACACAACCTTTAAAATTCTAACTGGAGATTACAACAATTCTGATGCAATAACTCGTTTACACAAGTTTTACATTAAAATTACTGTAAATCTACTATTGAACATAATAGAATCTATTTATAAACATTACACATTAATATATTTTTCTTACTTACCAAATTTGAATTCTGAATTTTGATGTTCCGATGTACTTTTCGTCGAAATATTCTGTTGATCTATAAATCACGATCCTCACGATAGAAAACTGATCCCAGCGAAATCTTCCTAAAAATACAGCAACCACGAGGCCAAATCTGTAAAGAAAAAAAGGAAAAAAATAAAATTAACCTAACCTTGTTTATCAATGATCGGTACATTCAGCAACAACACGTAACGTTTGCCATTTACACACCAGATGGTGCAGATCGCAATTTCAATCAGTTTGTCAAAAATGGCTGCGACCAACTCAAGTTTGCCTTCTGAAATTTCCACAAAGAAAGAAGATGAATTTAATGAATTTTACACTGAAGTACGTTGAAATTATTACAATAAATAAATTAAGAATATAAATTTTTTCTTCTTTCGTGAAATTTAAAATATTTTACCTATTATATAATCATAAATATTCTCTTCCATTCCCGGGCTCACTGAAAACGTCATTCTTATTTACTTTGTGTTTATTACGCAAATTTTTATTAAAGTTTGTAAATTTAATCCTTAAGGTAAATTTTCCAATTCTCAATATAACTTGGAATGAGAAAATATTGATGAATAATAATTTTCTTATTTAAATAACCTTGAGGAAAATAAGCATGTATAAGCCTAACCTGAAAATTTATTTATCTTTTAGATACATTTAAATATTGACTCTTTTATGAAAATTAATAATTAGTGGCAATTTTTCCGATTTCTGCTAATTTGTAAGATTTTGCACGAATTTTTTTATTTTTACAAAGACAATTTTTTTCAGGTTAAAGAAATAGAAAAAAGGGACTCGGTTCTAACTCCAAAACAGCAAATAGACAGGCTCTTACGTCCTGGTTCGTCCTATTTTAATTTAAATCCTTTTGAAGTTCTTCAAATCGAGCCTGCCACCTCTTTGGAAGAAGCAAAGAAAAAATATAGACGTGTATGTATTTTGGAAATTTATTAGCAGAAAAAAATAATTCTTTGGATTAAATTTGGTCTATTTATACAAATACACGAATACACGATTTGATTATTTGAAATAATTATGATTGTAATAATTTCTTTCTTTCAGATGTCTATATTGGTCCATCCTGATAAAAATCAAGACGATGCAGAAAGAGCTCAACAATCTTTTGAAAGTAAGTTAAAATTGCAAATATTAAAACCCGACAATTTCGTAGTTTTGTGCTAACAGTTTGATTTTTTGTTTAGTTGTCAATAAAGCATGGAAAACCTTGGAATGTGAAGAAACAAGAGCAAAGTGTATGGATGTTATTGAAGAGGCAAAGGCTAGAACAGATCACATGGTAATTAATTTTAATTAAATTAATTAAAAAAGATAGTTTTTATTTTCATTTAATGTAATTTCCATCATCGTAGATTGCCGAGAAGAAAAAGAAATTAAAAAAGGAAGGAAAAATTGGCGAAGGAAGTGCAGTTCAATTATTAGAAGAAGAATCTGAAGAAGGTTACAGACATGCAATTTGGGTCATGACCATGAAACTTTTTGCGGATATGGAACGCAGAAGGTTTGTCTTATTCCTTCTACAATTATATTTAAACTCTACAAAGTATAAAATAAACAACCTTTATTATTAATTTAATTTCAGACGAGAACTGGCGACTCGAGACGCCGAACAAAGGAAACGAAAAAGAGAAGAAGAACTATCAGCAGAAGCTCAAGCAGCTATGGAGCGTGAATGGCAAAAGAATTTCGAAGAATCGAGACAACTGAGAGTGGACAGTTGGAAAGCTTTTCAATCTGGCTCTGGTGCTACGAAACAGAAGAAAACGAAGAAAATGAAAGCCTTTAAACCACCGAAAACAAAAGCAGAATCCCGATAATGAAGTAAATTAACTTTTATTTCATCCATCGGTCCCTAGTTTTATTCTAATTTTAATTGACTATGGTTTTCTAAAGGATAAAAAGAACATATATTAGTCACTTTGTTGGATAATACGGTCTCGTATTTCTACCAAGATATAGGCTATATAAAATTCATTTGAATTATTACAGTGACTTCTGAAATGTAAGATCAAATAAATTAGGAAGTGAATAAGTGATTATATTAGTTAAGTGAATGAATGAGTGTGTGCTAAATTTACGAAAATACATGAACGATCAATTTGTATGATTGCGCACAGAGTGTGATGTGCAGGACTCAAAGCCGAAACTCGAAGTATTATTGTATTCGAGAAATACCTTTTTTTAATTGACTTATTGTAAAAACAATTCTTCAACTTTACTATAAGAGAGCCACTCTTTATCTTTATCATTGTTGATCTCGTATTACTTTTTGGTATCATCAAATATTCAAAAGTCAAAAAATGGGACATTTTTTATATTTTCAAGGTACATACCTATATTTACCTTAAAGTGCAAACATTGGAAAATATTAAAAAGTATTGTAAAGTTATCAGGGGTTTTTTTTATTGAAGGTCAAATTATAGTAACAATTTGCCTAAACTAAACTATTAAATATTTAAGATTTAAGATTTAAAGATAGGTAAACGTGCAAAAGTTCACTTTCACTTTTTATATTTTTAAACTTTTTAAATAATATACTTTTTTATATTTTTTATAATTGAAATTTTAAAAGTTTAAACATAATTTAAAATAACACTATTTATTAATCCATGCATGCTTGTATAATAAATGTTATGAAATGAATAAAAGATGATTGAAATATTGAATTATCATATTGCGAAAAAACTGAAGAAATTTTGATTTCATTTTGATTTTTAACAAAATCATTTATTTACAAATTTAAAGTACTATTAGTTTCTAATCATTACCAACAATTATGTTTAATTCCACCTGAAATGAGCATACGCTCGATTAGCCTCACAATGTTTGTGTAACTCCAATTTTCTCTTTACAACACTTCCCTAAAAATAAATGAGAAAATGATACTAATTTAAATAATACATACTATGTATGTTTAAAAAACTTGAGAAAAAATGTATTTTCTTACTGTATTATTGGAAGCGTTAATTAACTCTCTGGCTAAACAGTCGTAAAAGTGTACTGTACGTTCTTTCACTTGAGCAGCTTGTATCAACCAATTCATTGCCAAAAATTCCGATCGCTTTGCAGACAATGGGTGAGGAACCTTAAAAATGAAATTTGTATCAACTGCTACATTAGAATTTTAATTATCTAAAGAAATATTTATTTACGTCGTATTTAACTCCTCCCCTTCTTAGTTTTACTGTTTCTAGAGCCGGTGAAGCGTTTTCTACTGCTTTATGCAAAATGGTTATCGGATCGAGTTCAATTTCATCTTTTTCTTCTTGGGTCTCTGCTTTGTGAAAACGCTCAATCTGTATTCTTTTCATAGATGTAAAACATTTTCTTAATTCATTATCTGCTACAACTTTTTTTCCTTTTCTCATAATAAAATTTGTAAATTTTCTACAAAAAAATTGCTCAATTAGATTAATTTTTCATAAAGTGAAGATGATAAGTTTGTATGTAAGGTTTTTACATACCGCGTTAAAGGATCATGAAATTCTGAACACGTATGATTAGAAAAGGCAGGTAATATATGCTGAAGGGACAATTTTTGTAATTGTTTATCTTCTTCAAGTTCTAATTGCTCATCTTCTTTAAAAACAGGACTTCTCATACTCTTTGGAAATACACTATAATTTTTTGCTGAATAAATTACCGTTAATCTGAAAATGGAAATATTTTTTTAATTTTTGAAATTAAATGTCTTTAAATGCAATTACAAAAATATTTTTGACTTAATAAAGAAGAAAAATATTCTTTATTTAATAAAGAATATTTTTATCGAAATTTTGAGGTTATGTCAAACGTAAACATTTATAATTGTATACAAAAGCAAAATCTATATTTTTATTAGTAACGAAATGAACAATAATAAATAAAAATCTGTTTTTAATCAGATTTTACAAAATTTAAAAATTAATTTACCTTTCTAGCCCTTTAAAGGGATTATAAATTAATCCTCGTGTCACAAGATTACAGAGTGACGCCATTTGAAAGGCGTAAATAATATCTTGTTTGATATAAATTGATATATCTTATTCACAGGTTACCAACGATAATTTATAATTCAATTTATAATTTAGTAAGAATAATTATTTATATGATATTCCGAGTAAAATTATATATGTACAAAATGATAACAATACAAAAACCTTCAAAAACTCTTTAAATGCCTGTGGAGTGTGGAGTGTGGACCCTCTGGTCTTGTTTAATTCCGCGTTCCAAGTGTTCTGACTTTAGTTCCTCATTCCCTGATTCGTTTTGTCAGTCAGGTCCAGTCAAGTCGTGCGACACACTATTGACTGTGTGTTTAAGTGTAAATTCTTGGAAAAATCAAGGCACACCGAGCTTCAGCTTTAAAGTTTGTAAAATCATTTTGTTTTCGGTATAAATTTGACGCTAAATTTCATAAATAATGTCCACGATGTATTACGCATATGTTAAGTTGATAAGCCCTTGTGAGGAAGGCCCCTGAGGTGCGCCTGACAAGTGGTTTCTATACTTTAAACAACCGGACATTTGTACAACTTACACGATGGCTGAAAATCAAGGAAACTCCTCAAATCAGATCAATCAAGGTACATTAATATTTTATTTACTCTTTTTTTACAACTTGAAATCTAAATTTGACGATTCTAACCTTACTGATTAACCTGGCGGGATTCAATGTCTACCGATTTTTTTAGTTGACATTACGTACTTAATACTTTTCTTTTCTTTGTTTACTTAAGATATGCTTGTGATATGCAGCAGTGAACAGTTTTCTCTATTTCACCCTAAACGATAATTCCCTTCAATTTTATTTTATTCCTTTCCCTAGGTATTATTTCAAGTATTTATATTATATTTTTTAAAGTCCGAATATTGTTTGCTATATAATTGCAGTACGCTATGATTATTGTGGAAAAAAACTGTTTACTTACTGCTTAATAAATCACGACTTTTTCTTTTTGTTTTCAGTAATGTCTATACATGAATAAGTTGTTAAAAATTATTGTTAAATATTATTTGAATTCTTCAAAGAAAATACTGAATTTTTATTTACTAATAATAATTTTCGTTTTACGTAATTAAATATTGGATTAAATATTAAATGTACTTGATATTTAAATATTACTGCAGAATTGAAGAAAATTAAAAAAATATTTTATATATAAAATATGTTTTTTACATTCTCATCACATGAGAAGGTATTTTAATTTCTGTAAACTGATATATTTCCCTTTTTCAAAATTTAGAAAAGTTTAGACAAATGCGGTATCAATGGAGATCATCTAGTCCATCAGGTCAGTGAAATATTTTACAAATTTTGTATTTTTATACAGTGAAAAGAAAATATGAGGTGAAATTACATTAAACTTTGAGTTTATTACATTTTTTAATGTTCAAACCGTTGAAACAAAAACATTTGTATAGAAAAAATCGAGTTTATGTTTAGAAAACCATTATTTTTATAACGATATGTAATTAAATTTGATCTATATTCGTCTTGAGAAATTGAAAGAAATATTTTCAAGTTTTCAATAATGTTTACGAATAATGAAACATTTGAAACATTTTGTTTCCAAAATTAGAGTTGTATTGGAGTAATGACACGTAATAAATGTATTTATGTTCCTATAGGATCTTCCAGATCATTTAATTTTCAACGGATGGATTTTCGAGCGAACAATGACGTTCAAAACGACATGTCTGGTGAGTTTTTTTCTACATTTATAAATAAATCAGAAATTACACGCTATTTAATTGTTTGTGCTTTATTAGAAAAAAGAAGACAATTGAAGCTTAGCTTTCAAACACAAGGAGGCAGTAAGTCATTCTCTAATTCAACCAGTTCTACACTCTCAAATTCAGCAGCTCCTTCAGTGTGCCCACCCTTGTAAGTTAATTTTTGTAGAAAATTTAATGTTTCATTTGTATTTGTTACCAATAATTAAATCTATTTTCGCAGATCACGTCCTAGCTTACCACTAACTCTACCAAAACTTCCTGCAAGGCCCAGACAACAACAAGAATTTCTTCCCGATAAAGCGAGGTATTTATCTGTAAATAATTGCAATAATGAAATGAAATGAAATGAAATACTATTGAATTGTCTGTCCATTTTTTTAGGGAAAAATTAAGAATGTGTCAATCAATGCAGAGTACTGGGAAATTGCAATTATCTCCAGACACTATATACGATTTTACCAGTGAAGATCTTCAGGATTTGGGAGAAATAGGAAGAGGGGGATTTGGTACTGTAAATAAGATGATACATAGGATAAGCGATACCGTTATGGCTGTGAAGGTAAATTATTGTAAAACTTTTAAAACTGAAGCAAAAGTTATGGAACTTGTGGTTTGCTAAAAAATATTGTCCATTATAGAGAATTCGTTCGACGGTCGATGAGAAGGAGCAAAAGCAGTTATTAATGGATCTCGAAGTTGTCATGAAATCTAATGACTGTCCTTGCATTGTGCAATTTTACGGGGCTCTGTTTAAAGAGGTAACATGCCTTTATTGAAGTTTGCAATTTTTAATTCCAAATTAAAAATTCTATTCTCTATTCAAGTTAATATTAATTATTTAAGTAATTATCGGGTTTTTTAATTTTATCAAGTATGCAATCGGAAATAAAATTTCTAAATATAAATAAATCTGTGTAATCGATAACGATTTAGGGCGACTGTTGGATTTGCATGGAGCTAATGGACACTTCTCTTGATAAATTTTACAAATTCATTTATGAGAGGTTGAACGATAGGATACCAGAGAGTATCCTGGGAAAAATCACTGTTGCTACTGTGAAGGCGTTGAATTACCTTAAGGAGAAATTGAGGATCATTCATCGGGATGTCAAACCTAGCAATATTTTGCTAGATCGTCGTGGAAATATTAAGCTCTGTGACTTTGGCATTTCTGGACAATTAGTAGATTCCATCGCTCGGACCAGAGACGCAGGTTGCAGACCTTACATGGCTGTACGTAACTGAACAAATCATTTTCAATTATTATAAATAAAACTTTAAAATTAACGATCACTCCGAGTCAAAAGTCAAATTTGACTCGGAGTGATGGTTAATTTTAAAGTTTTATTTATAAATTCATAAAATTTAATTTAAAAATGAAAACTGACTTTATTACAATGTAAATCGAAAATAAATGCCTGGGAAACTCGGTTATTTGGTTTTAGTTAAAGAATCACAGACAAAAATAAGAAAGTTTAAAGAAATAATACTTAATGATATCCACGAAGTAGTAAAAGGAGTTTTTCAAACTTTAGTTTCAAGTAGACATGAAATAAAATTCAGTTCGTTAATTTTGTTTCAAGTCGACACGAAATTAAATTCAGTTCGTTAATTTTATTTTAAGTCCAGGCCTTGGATATTATGACTTTTTCGACTTTTTCGACTTTTTTTTTTACAAATTTTGTGACAAAATACCACAATTTTAGTAAAACTGCAACTTATTTCGATTTTTATTACTATGAAAAGTATAATAGACAAATCTTTAAAAAGTTATTTTTGAATAATTTTTCTAATTAAATTTTCGAAATATACAAAATATTCAAAACCTTTTTATGTAATTGTTAAAATTTTTTTATTATTTTGAAAAGCTTTTGAATAATTGAAATTTTGTAAAATTTAATTGAAAATAATTGACTTTATTAAAAATTTTGAAAATCAACTTTGGAAGAATTTCAATTTGCAAAATTTTGAAAATAATTTAATTCTCAAAAATTTTAATGAAAAATCTTTAATTGTAAATTTTATAAGAAATGAAAATTAATGAAAATTAGTTTCTAAGAATTATATTAAAATATTTTTGAAAAAAGTAATTCTCAGAATTTTTGCATTCTAAATTTTTAAAATTCAATTACATATTTTCAATATTTTCGATTTCATATTTCCGAAAATTCAAATACATACAAAAAATAATAACATTACAATTTTTTAGAATTATTTTTAACATTTTGAAGAAAATAATCATAATTCAAAATTTGTAATTAAAATTCTTCAAAAAATTAATTAGTTTTTTTTCAATTATACAAAACTTTTTTTTGTCAATTCAATTACCTATTTTTGAAAAATTACATTACAATATTTTTATAAAAAAAACTAATTCTTAGTATTGTTTTTATAATAATTTTTTAAGATTCAATAAAGTAAATTATATATATATTATATTATACTATTGTCAAACAGTTAATTTAAAAAATTATTTAAAAATATTTTTAAAAAATTAATATTATGAATTTTTTTATTAATATTTTTGAAAATATTCTACCTTAATATCTTTAGAAAGAAAAATAGACAGTTTCAATTCTTGTAAAAAAGTAAATTTTTGTATTAAAATAATTGAATTCTCGTAGAACTTTTGGAAAATTATTAAAAATTAATATTAGATAATTAATTGAAAGATGAAGTTTAATTAAGAATTGTAGAAAATAATTGAATTTTGGAAGAGTTCTACTTTTAATTTTTAGGAATTATCAAATTTCAGAAGTTGAAATGTTCTTAATTTTATTTCCCGAGAAAAAAGAAATAAAAAGTATTTAAATATTTATTTAGCAAAGTTATTCAAGTTTTGATTAATTGAATTTAGAAATCAGTGAAGATTCAAAGAAATACAAAAATGTTATTTTGTATTTCCCTGAATCTTCACTGATTTCTAAATTCAGTCGTTTAATTAATTCAGTGTTGTCACAAAAATGTTATTTTGTATTTCCCTAAATCTTCACTGATTTTCTATTGTTAATCGACGAAAGCGACTTTTTTGACTCGTTAAAGTCGATCCGAGGTCTGCGAGTCGATTTTTAATTTAGTTTTCTTTCAGTCCAGGGTGTCTACTAACCGGGAATTCCGGGAAAACCGGGAAATAACCGGGAATTTTATTTGACCGGGAATTAGCCGGGAATTTTATACCGAACCGGGAATTTTTTCACAAAAATTAAAAAAGTTTTATTATTTTAATTTGTTTTTAAAAAATCAATTTTTATTTCAATTTTTATAGATATTTATACTGTTCTCTAAATTTAAGTTAGTTAAAAATAATTAATTTGATGATAAAAAATCAGTTACCAATTCAAATATATTATGTAAATAAATTTAAAAAAAATTATGGAGTTAATAGAAATATTGTGAAATTCGACTGAAAATATGTAATTAAATTTGTTAAAGAAATTCATTAGAAACTTCTTAACAAATAGAATTTTCAAAGTATTTTAATTTAATAATTGATTAATAATTGAATATTATAAAGAGTAAAATTCTAATGTATTCATGTTTCTTACTGCGAAGATTAATAATTAAAATTTTTATTAGTTAATTTAAAAAAAATATACATACTTAAAATTGTTTAATAAAATTGAACTTTCGCAAAATTTTTTTTAAATCTAAAAAATAAAATTGTTGTAATTTTTTAATTCTATTGTTTCAAGATAATTGAATTTTTCTAAACAAATCATTGAAATTTTTTTACTTTTTTTGAAAAATAATTGAATTTTTTTAAAGAATTTTATTTAAATTTTTCGAAAATAATCAAGGGAAGTTAGTGACCATAATTATAATTTTATTTTTAAAATTTTAAGTCCCTCTTACAGTTTTAAATCAATTTTTTGCTTCTAAAAATTATACTATTCTATTATTATTTAATAATTATAATTATTGAACTTCTCTTAAATTTTTATCATTTTATATTTCTGAATGTTCAAATAAATGATATTTATTTATTTCTTGAGCAAATTAAATGTTTATTAGATACATATTAAGTAAATAATTAATTATAGCTGCTTATTATTTTCAAAAATTTTAATAAAATTCTTCACAAAAATTAAATTATTTTCATAAATAATAGCATTCTTTGGAAGGATTCAATTATTTTTATAAATAGTAAAATTCTTTGCAGAAGTTCAATTATTATCAATGTAATTTTAATAAAATTGAAAAATACAATTTTCAATTATAATTATAAAGAGACAAGATTATTTTTAAAAACTTGAAAAAATTCTTTGTTTAATTCAAGTATTTTCCAAGTGTTTAATTAAAATTATTGAAAAAAACATTATTTTAAAAAAATTTAATGATTTATTTATGTTTGAAATCAAATTTAAATTTAAATTTGATAAGAAAAAAAAACCGGGAAAAAATTAGGATATAGCCGGGAAAAACCGGGAAATAACCGGGAATTTTGTTAAACGAAAATAGTAGACACCCTGAACTTTCAGCATAGGTCCCTGGTCGTTTGAAACAATAAAAACCGAATTGAAAAATTATTTTCGCAAATATATTCACTATTGAAAATTTGTTTCCAGCCCGAGCGAATAGATCCTCAAAGAGCACGTGGTTACGACGTTAGGAGCGATGTCTGGTCCCTAGGAATCACTTTGATGGAAGTTGCCACTGGATATTTTCCTTATCCAAAATGGAACTCAGTTTTTGAGCAACTCTATCAAGTGGTTCAAGGCGATCCACCAAGATTAACACCAAACGAAAATGGAAATCATTTCACTATGGATTTTGTTAACTTCGTAAACACCTGGTAATTCGATTTATTATACTTATCAATTAGTAATCGTAATAATAATATTAATAACATTTCGTTTTCATTTTAATAGCTTAATTAAAGAGGAAACTCAACGTCCAAAGTACAATAAGCTTTTGGAGCATCCGTTTATAAGAAAATCAGAAGAAGCATCAATTGATGTAGCTGCTTACATAGGCAGCGTTCTGGACAATATGGCTAATAATGGCGTTACACCATTTACCACTAATCAGCCTTAAAAATTTTGAATATGGAATGGAAAGAAAGAGAAGAGAGATATAACGAAAAGAAGAGATTTTCTTTGCTTCGAACCTGCATTTGTCACACCCCCACCGCTGATGTTACACGTAGGGGAGCAAGCTGCTTCGTTGTAGAATAGATAGTCGGCGCGGCGACGAGGTAATGTGTAGAACTGTATCTTCGTGTCGTACAAAACTCGTAATTATAGCGAGTAGGGGGGTTGTTAATCATGATATATAATTAGAAAGGAAGTGGAAAATTCATTTCTAGAATACTTTCCTACCAAGATCACTAAAGAGCACATAATTGTGTAAACCTCTTTTCTATCTATCTTTCTTTCTTTTTTTCTTTCTTTCTTTCTTTCTTTCTTTCTTTCACCTTCGAGGTAAACGGTAGTAATAATCAAACCAATTCGGCAAAATTGCCATAAACCTTATAAACTTGTAATGTTTTTGTATAGATCATACAATTTTAAAATATAGTTCGTTCTGTCAATTTATAGATCAAGCTTACACCAAGTTTTATGCAGAAGAAAATAAATATTTTAATTCATCTTGATTTTTGCGTCATTTCTCACATTTTGTGTCTATTAAAGGACTAAATATGCAAAGCATTTCTTATATTCGTAATTATAATTAAGTATTTATAATCTTGCAGTTTTACGACATTTGATTCCGTGCTTTGGAGGTGAAATTAATTTAAACATAATTGCATTGCAAAAATATTTGATTTTCGGAGAAATTTTTAGAAATTTGTCGACCTTGATTGCTCTTGTATGAATTAAAATTGCGAGACAGTTCTTGGTCATCCTTTTATCTAGACAATAGAGCGTTGACTTACTGAAACCTGCGGGTTGACGTTCAAGTATAGTGAACGCAAATAAAAGAACGAATAAAAGAAAATTGAAAAAAAGGAAAATGTGACTGTTCTTAGATTATTGTGTATATCATATCAATAAACACAATAGAATAAGATTGTAATAATGGATCATTTTATTCATTAAAACCTGTCCATTGTCTAAAATTTTTATTACTTTCTCATAAAGTATTGTTTTATTATTTCTAATTAACTTTAACAATTTTTCGTAATTTGAAAAAAATTAATTCTCCATGGCTGACAATATTCGAGTATCTCAAATGTAAAATTTTATATTAAGCAAGTGGAAAAAACTTGAACAGAAGAAAAAATAAAAGTGAATAGGACTATGGAGGGTAGTTCGATCGATAGTTTTACCGACGCGGTACACCTGCAGGTAGTCACGATACCACTTGTCCAGGTAAACGAGGATGGCTGGTGAATAGTGCTAATAGTGATTTCTGAGGATCACGGTAGCGGTCACAGTAAATCCAGTCCGAATTTAAATTTCTCTCCCTTTATTCAATTTAACAATTATTTTTTAATTAATTAAAGAAATCATTCGTTCCTTCTAAATAAAAAATAAATCCCCTTTTTATAAATTTTGCAAACAATGTAACGTGTGTTATATACGGTTTTTAGTGAGAAGTACGATTTCGCCGAATGCAAAGCGTGAGGAAAGTCAATAATTTTTCAAAACTAAGTAAGTATTAGAAAGAAAAGAAAATTTACTAAAAGAAACTATCCTTTATGATCTGTTATACTTATAGATATTCATGTTTTATTTAAATTACCAGCTATTATTTATTTAAATGCTAGAGATACTTCTATGCCATAATTAGTATAATAATTTACTATAAATATTTTTCCTGACAGGAATATTCCTCAAGAAAAAGTTATTTTTTCTAAATTTTACATAAAATACGACAATCTGAAAATATAATTGAATTTTAAATAGCTTATTTATTTTTTAATTTCCAATAATTTTTCTAAAAATTCATTGATGATCGGAAGAGATTAGTGTGGAATAATTTTTTCATTAATAAATGAACAATTTTTGACATAATTTAAAACAGTGCTCATATAATGGTTTCAATACTGCGTTTTAATTTTTAATCCGTAATGATTTTACTTTATTACGCATTATTGTCAAGTATTGCTCATTTTTGCGCAAAAGTTGTCTTAATTCAATTTCAATTCAATAAAATAGAATATTTTTATTTCTCGTTTGGATTTTCTTAATCTAGTCGATAAAAATTCACAAAAGAAACTTTTTTCTTGAAACTGCTTGAGTGTTAATTGAAAAAAATTCTCAAAAAAAAATTTATTCTAATCTATTTTAATAATAAAAAATATATATTCTTAATATTTAGAATAAATACTTTTAAATTTAGTATATTTTAGTAAATACAAAGGGCATATTCTTATAGTTTTAAAAATTTAATTATTAAATACACTAAAATAGAATAAATTTTGTTTAGTAATGTTTTTAATAAACGTATTTCATTAAAAAAAGATTAAATTAATCAATTTTTGGACTAATTTTTTCCATTAAAAAGAATGTGTCTAAATTAAAACTAAATCACTTAAAACATTTTGAAAAAATAATTCTTGGTTGGATTATTTTAATAATGGATGGATTTAAGCGTTGCAGATTATTTTAATCCATTTTGGTGTTAAAATAATATCCCACAATTTTCTGTGATAATAAAAAAGAAGATTTGTTTTATAAATAATTATTTTTAACTACAATAAAAAGACTGACTTTTTGCTTTTGAATTAGTCAATTTTACTAATAAATAGTAATTTTCACCAATTTATAAATAAATTTTACTGATAAATAGTAATTCAGTAATTTTCACTAATTTATTAGTAAAGTTTACTAATTCAAAAGCAAAAAGTCAGTCAACTCAATAATTCAAATTAGTAATCTTTTTTACTAATTAAAATTTAGAGAAAGCTATATAAATTAAAGTAATATTTGATATTGAAATTAAATTTATTTAAAAGAATTTTCGTAATTTTCGAAATGTTTTTTGGTTCTGTAAATAAATCGAATAAGTCCTTGAAAATACATTTTCTGTGAAGGGTAAATTAACTGATAAAAATCTGTTTAGATTTATTCCGTGAAACGTTTTATATTTATTAAGTCATTGCCAGTTTTCTAAGAATTAGTAATTTTTTATTATTTGTTTTTTTTTCAATATATATAAGAAAATTTTTCTGCGCGAATTATATAGGGTAGAAATATTAAAGCAAAAAGAAAATTTGAACTTTGGTTCATTTTTAAAACAGAATTTCGCGAATTAAATTGCTTGAATTTAATATTTAACTACTCGAGCAATAATAATAATGACAATATAATAACTTTACTTTTGCCATAAACAAAAAATTTTCTGTTGTGTTTATATTTATCTTTTTAATTTTGAACTTTTACATGAAGTAATAATTCGGTTTATCTCATCAAGTAAAATTTGTATCGCCGGAGCATATATTAAATAAATTATAAAAATAATATTGAGATAGACATTTATAGGTTAAAAAGTTTCTTCACCTAATGCATAATAAATAAAAGAAATGTAAAGCCGATTGTACTTAAGGTCATGAATGTCAAAAGAAGAACATATTTTTTTATATAAACTGCATTTGATATTTAAAATAAAATAGAGTAAAAATATAAATTATAAAATTTAAATATAAAAGTTGAAAATAATACTATTTATTGAATTTCCATAAAATTTTCCTGTATTTTTATATTTAGATCCTAATTGAAAAATAAACGGCATTAAAATTTTGCAATTTCAGTTAAAATTTCTGGTAATATTTTCGACGAGGTTTGTCTGGAAGTTTGAAAAGGGTATTTGCTACTGTGCAATAGGAGCGCAGTGCTGCTGCATTTGAGGGAAGATCAATTCTCTTGAATATTTGATGAATCCTCAACCCTCCCGGAAACTATACTTGTTCTCTAGTCCATATCTGTCCCCTCTCTTTGTTCTATTCGAGCACAGTCCACGTACATCATAATATAACTGACTTTCCACGTGGTGACCTAATGTCTCTCTTCTCTGTAAGATTTCAATTCGAGAAGCAACAATAATTTTCAAATTACCCTGGTTTGCTAATCGTATTGATGATTTGGATTATTGAACAGAAAAACTGAAAAAAATTTTGAAAACTCTTCTGTTGAAAATTTTGTTGAGTTTTTCTATTCAATCCAAATACTCGTTCAATTAGTCGAAATACATAATTTGAATGAAATTTTTATCTGGTTGCGGAATGATTCTTTTCAACTTTTGAAAGAAGATATTCAGAACCTCGAGGTCAATGGATGGTTGACATGAAGTTGATGATGAAAAATGCAATATTTGGGAGAGACAGTGAGATCGACCATTTTGTGGCATCGGGAGGACAAATGGCGCTCATGCAGGTTCATCCTTGTCGTCCATATCGTCGGCGTCGCTCGACGTCAAAGGGGAAGTATCTGCGCGGCGGATCAATAATCTCCTGGGAACATCCGTCCCCCTGCCGAGCTTCTGGTGGCGGACTGCAAGCTCTGCTGGTGGTGTGCAGCACCAGCACCGGCACCTGTTTGTGCTTTCTGACTCACTACCTGATGGGCCCATGCCAATACTATAATGCACAAACCACCCTTTCCTCTTCAATATCCTGCAGAACAAATATGTACCTACACATGTTACACACTCCCACTCGACTTATGGCCGCGCACATGTGTAATTCATAGTCTCAATACAGACATTCGAGTATTTATGATTCTGCGGAAAAAGGCACAAAGTATCAAATGATGAAACTCTATTTTTAACCCTAATTTGTACTTTTCTTCTGTTTTTACCGTTTTTACCGTTTTTACGAGATCAACGATCTTTTCTTTTAATCCCAATTTCGAAAAAAAAATTACAATCCGAAAATACTGCGACTTCGATTTAGATTAAAAAATTTATTTTATAATCCAAAAAAAGATTTACCTTCGCATATATTCTAGGTTCAAAAATATTTTCCACGTGGAAAAGAATATTCTTTGTTTACAAGTATTTTCTTTGCAAAATAGTTCATTAAGAAACATTGGATGTTCGCAATGTTGAATTAATGTAAATAAATTTAATTTATGTTAATCCTTTAACGCCTCTGCAAAAATTTTTAATTTTTACTAATTCAAATTTACAGATAGTTGTTGGATTAATAAATCGTAATTATAGACTATTTACTTTAACTGTGCACATTCAGTATATAGTAAAATTAATCTAAATCTTCTAAAATTTACTAAAAAAAACCTTGTTGTCAATATATTTTTCAGTCTATACCTTGTAAAATTAACATTTACTTTTCCTCCGTAAATCGGAGGAAAAAATTTTAATTTAACCCTCTTCCTCCCTCCCTCCCACCCTTCTCGTCTTTTGTAAAAATCTATATTAAATATATGCCTAAACACGGAGGTACTCAGAAAGTTTTTAGAATTTCTTTCCAATTCAGAAAAAAATTTGTATCTTATTTAAAAACAATAACGCTGGTATTGATAATTTTATTTAACAATTTTCGGAATTGAATATCAAATTTAGTCTTTGTTCATCAAATTGGAGATTTTTTTATTAAAGAAGAGCTTTTTCCGAAACACAGAGGTACTCGGAAATTTTTTTGAATTTATTTCCGATTCAGACAAAATTTGTTTCTTGAAAAACGACGCTATCTTGATCATTTTTTTAAAACAATTTTTGGAGTCGTATATCAAATTTGGGCCTTTTTTCATCAAATTCGAGCTTTTTATTAAAAAAGAGCTTTTTTCGATACACGGAAGTAGGTACTTAGAACTTTTTTAGAATTTCTTTCCGATTCAGAAAAAATGTGTATCTTGAAAAATGACGACGGTCCTGTAAATTTATTTTCACAATTTTTGGAGTCGAATATTAAATTTGGGCTTTTTTTCATGAAATTGGAGCTTTTTCGGACTCACCAAGGTACTCAGTACACTGAAAAAAACTGCTTATGGTACTGCCATAAATATGACCAATTCTCACATATTATATTGGTGGACATGGAACAGCCATATAGTATTGCTGTTTCAGCTATACGTCCTAACTATACTCATATGACAAAATCGACAATATCGAAA